TTAGGGATATAAAGTTATTTTCAATGGGAAATTTTTTGTCATTATTATATTAATTAGGGTTAAATAAATCCTTTTACATTTTTAAATGAACACTGCAATAACTTCCATATCCTTGAAAGTAAAAACATAAATAAAGCAGGGTATAAGGGCTTTTTGGTATTTTTAACCTTCAAATGCATAATTACATGACCATATTATCCTTACATTTCAAAAGAATAAAACTGACGGTTAAGGTCAATTGAGCCTTTTTAATTTATTTTTTTTCTCTATTTTCAATTTAAACAAGGAATAATTAGGACTTTGAATATATATAAAAATAATTAAAAATATAAAAAAATTATAAACCCATGCTAACCAGTAAATGAAAAGTGCCCACGCTATTTAAGATCATGTATATTAAACCTTAAACGTTATTATTTGTTTCACTTGGGTTATTCAAATTTGATATTTCTATTTGCAAAATAATAGAGCTAATTAATTTATTTAGTTTTTTTGTATTTTTTTAAATTAATTTTTTAAATTTTATTATTTAATATTAAATTATTACATCCTAGTAGGATAACGCATAATTTATTTCATAGTCGGAGACTTGGCCAAAGAGTTTCTTGATTGCTGTATTGAGCACTCAGTTAGAGCAAAAAATAACCTTGATGTGAAAAACGAGATAATGTTATCATTGAGAAAAACAAAACAAATTAGTTTGATAATCCATGGTTATTTCAAGGCCCGATAAAAAAATATAGTTTAGTCTGCTTAATACAGAAAACAGGTGGCCTCAATTGAGTCCTCGGCACAAAAAATCTCAGTTGAGGTTTTCACCTATTTTTCACCAATCAAGTCCTCCGTGTGCCCGAGATTCTCGATTAGGTTCTCCCATCCAGATGCAATAGTATTTTCTGTGTAAAATATCCATTTTATGCAGTAAGATGACAACATTTTTTATTAAAAAATTACATATTTTAGATGAAAGAACTTGATGGGGATTTTTCTTTATATAAAAAGGGACCTAATTAAGAAACAAGCAATAAAATTATGGAGATGTTATTATAAAAGCCACTCTCAAAAATCCCACAAATATCCTATCCCAACACGTATAACATTTAGTTAGAGCCAGCTTTTTTATGAAGGAATGAACTTGATGAGTTTAATGCTTTTTGATGGCATGCGAAATTCCAAAAGTTTCCCAAATTTATATGATTTACTTTCTTTTTATTCATAGCAATTCCAGGCAGGATGGGAGTTTTAGAAAGGGTGGGGGTCAATGTGAAATGGTAGTGGGATATATTTAGGTTAACGGGTAATAGATAAAACATGCGTTTTGATTCTCTAAGATAAACATGCCTAATTTTCTTGGTTTGTAGGCTTAGTTCGAGCGAGCAATAATGGGGTTAGAATGCAAGAAATTAAAACGTGGAATAAACATTTTTCTTTTATGAAAAAATCAACTCGGAAGGGGATGATCGTTGTCGAATCTATCTTGAAATGCAAGATCGGCACGGAAGCATGCAGAGAGCATTAAAACAAAAGGAGGGGTGGGTGCAAGGTAGGGGGGTGAACTGCTGTGTGTGGAGTAATTCTGAATGATTTTTCCCCAGCTAGCCTTGTGCTGACAACAAATTGTGGAAGAAATGCTTGAATTGCTACTTCAGCTGCATGCAACCTCTCGTAACTCGAGAATCGATCGTTTTCCAGTCTCGAATTAATTTGCTCACCATTTGAGCTGTCCCATCTAGCTAGCTACTTGAATGGAAAGAAAACATCTGCGGCAAACGGGGGGCGTCCACGGACACATGCGGCAGCCACAGCATTATTACGGTACAATTACTGTACAAGACTTTTCCCACTAATCATCATGTCCTTCTCCAAAACTTTTGCAGCTACATTGCCCCTTCGCCTGGCATGGAGGGTCAAGCACGAGCTGGCACCGTATGTCCCTTCCAATAATGGAAAAGCAAATGATTGAAATTTAGGAAAATCTTCCTCCAAAGCCAGCAAGGGAGAGGGTACAGCTTAATCTGGATCATGTACTTGGTCTTCCGGGTGAACTTCCATGTGTTTTGGTAAAGCAGTGTTAAAATATATTAAATTAATGTTTTGTTTTTTTTTAATTTTTAACATCAATATATTAAATCTATAAAAAATATTAATTTAATATTTTTTCAAATAAAAAATACTTTAAAAAACACACAAACATACAATTTTTTCATCCAAATCAAATTGGTTTGCGTTTTGTACAATTGGTCACTCCAGGCTCATCCAAGATCGAGGATGAGTTTTCAAATAAAAAACACTTTAAAAAACACAAAAACATACAATTTTTTCATCCAAATCAAACTGGTTTGAGTTTTGATACAAGTATCTAGGGATTCAAGATTCCATCATAGACTTACTCTATCTATCTATATCTATCTACCTATCTATCTAAAAAGCACATTAATCAATTTGCTCGGGCTCAGAAAAGCTGATCTCTAGGGTTAAGTACATTTTCGGTACTATAATAATTTTTATAATTGCAATTTAAAAAAGAACTATAAATTTTTAATGGGATTTATATGGAATCATAATATGTATTAATTAATCAAATATTTTTAAAACTAAAATGGGAACAGAACACAATTTTTAACCACATTTCACCGTACCACCAAATCAAACCTAAATAGGCAACTTGAACAGGGGAGAGCATGCTGACGCGGCTTATCATTAGTGTTTATAAAGAAGAGGAAGAAAACAAACGAACAAAAGAAAGGAGAAATTATTTGGCAAGTGGGTTAGCATAAACTAATAATTGATTATCTGGCTGCATGATCACCCACTGGATGCCCACCATTTAATAGACACCGCAGGTTATCTAACATGATTAGGATATTAATTAATCTGATAAAAAGTTCATTTCTTTTGGGATAATATTTAAGATGGGAAATCAGATCAGTGATTAATATTTTTTTCTTTTTTCCAGATCGATCACGCTGCTCGGGGATTATCTCAGTACCGAATGAATCAATAATGCAGCTAACCAAAAAGGGTTGCGGAAAGGTTTTGATTTAAAACTCTCTGCACAAACACAAATCACGTCAAAGGGAGCTAGCAGACGTAGAATCTAATGGGTGTTATAAAGAGTAAAGACACCCACCACTGCCCAAATAAGGTCACCACGAGGAGTCCACTTTTGCTTTATTACATATCAATGGTAGCTTCACCCTTTCTTTTTGCATCCTCTTTCCTGACTCCCATTACTCAAGGAGCTTAAGTGGTAGTTTATCACCAAATCTCCAACGCATGAGATAACTTAAATAATAGTAACATGAATCTTCTTGGAGCACAATTTGCAAAAGGTATTTTGTTTTGGACAAATCTGCACTTCGCTTTTCTTTTCCTTTACCACTGCCTTCTCTTTTCCTGCTTTCTTTTCCCGCACGTATTGGTTTCTCTAATATTGGCAGAAGCTTTACAAACAGTACAGCACCCCCAAAGTGCTATTCTGCTCAATAGTCCAAGTAAAATATCCCCATCAGCTTTATATCCGCACAAGGTAGGGTTTCAAGTTGATTTCTAATACAGTACTAGAAGAGAATGATTGAGTTATGGATGCGTACGTTTTCCCGTGTCTTATTTTCTTGAATAGAGGGGAAAAAATGTTATTTATGATTTAAAAATACATTAACGGATTAAATATGAAAATGAAAGGCTAATCTTTCAAATAAAAATGAAAAATTGATGTACGTACACATGCAAATGTGGCTATTGTTTTTATTTATTTAATTTTAAAGGCTAATTATTGTTTCTAATAACAAATGATTTTTGTAATGTAACTGCAGCAAAAAAGAAAAAAAAAACATTGGTCTTGCCCAATCGATTGGTATATCATTAAAAGCCCCAGCCAAGACTAAAATGTTTTTTTTCCTTCAAAATTGTTTGCTCTAAGAACCTATACTTAGCTTGTTTTTCATTTAAAACACTATATAAATCTTGATAAATTTATTTCTAATTTTAAAATACTTCTAGATCAATTCAAAAAATAAAATCTAAATAAATAAAGAAATTAATAAACTCAAATATACCATTTCCAACATAGTCATATAAAACATCACGCTCATTAAACTCTTTTTTTTAAAATAAATTTATTAACACAAAGATCTGCTTTTTGATGGTCTAAATATAACTATCTGGTTTTTTTTTTCCTCTAGATTTTCTAGGACTCTTCTTTATTAATACTTAGGGATGAAATACGTATAAAATAAAGTTTGGTATCAAAATATAAAATTAATATCAAAATAACATGGACATGAAATCTTAGAGATCAAACGGAAGTGTCCATACCAAGATTGAAATGGGGCATGTATCTTTTTTTTTTCCTCAAATCATATCCTTGTTATTTCAATTTGTATTTTCAACTCCAATTGAATATTTATTTAGAAGAACCTGACTCCAATCCATTGCTGGATTTCCTTAAGAACTTAGAACATGCGAGAGAATACATTATTGAAATAAATAAAGAAAAAAACAAAGGTATTGTAATTTTAAAGGATGAAATTGCAAGGATCAAAATCTTAATAGTCAAAATGAAAACAATGCGTTGTTCAAAATGCAATCCACAACGCCATATGAGTAGCCCTCCATCGAATCCTTCAACAATGATTTGGCCATCTGTTTTAGCTAATAATATAGCACTGATAGGGTGTGCTATGGCTATTGGTTCCTGCAAGCAGAAGTATAGAGATTAATGATTAACCCTAAAAAACTCTTCTTCGATATGAACATAACCTGTATTATTTGGATCTCGACGACATCGATCCTAACCTAGATGAGATAAACTGAATCGCAAGGTAATTTGAGATTTCGTTGTCTCAGGATTGTTAGTCTAAAATTGGAATTAACTCGATCGTGTGATTTATTAAATGTTTGCTCGAGTCTGAAACATATACCGTTTACTCATAACTCAAGAAACATCATCCCAGCCCCTTTTTGCAGATATCCCTTTTAGTTAAGTACTAACACCACCAATGAATGTTACTGATCCTTCTGGTTCCGTACTTACTGCATGTAAATATATAGCATGTGGAAGCAACAAGGAACCTTCTTACAAGGAAAAGCGACATTTTCGGCCATCTTCTCAGAATTCGAACATCACACGGAGACGTGACAGAGCCTTGCTTAATTCACGGATAAGGGAGAAAGTAAATACTGATATGAGAAATTCTTTACTGTATCACGAAAATGCCCGCCGGATAAAAGAAGAGGAAGAAGAACCGTATTGTTCTCTATGATTTTTAATGAATTCCCATATTGTTCCTCATATCTAAACACAATAAATCAAGAAATATAACATATCTTTTTAAATACAATATCAACCCCTTAATAGTTTTTAGAAAAATATCTGAATAAATAATGCTTCAAATGAAGTATAACTGTTGACTGAGTCCCCGTGTCTTTAAGGTATATCCCGTCTAAATAGTCTAATTCCATGGAACGAGATCTATGCTAAATTTGGTGGCCGAGGAGAAGGAAACATTGTGAACCAGTGGAAGTTGGAAAGCTTTTGTTCGCATCTGTGTGAGTGGTTTATGTTGCCTGAACCTTTTAAAGTTTAAAGTGCACCTCTCAAGTGGCATATTAGGGAATATTCTCACGTGCAAGGCGCGTGATGCTTTTGTCTGAAGATAACTAGAACTCATTCATACATTCACAATCTCAAAATCTTTTGTAAGAGATGGATCGGTCTCGTGAGAAGACTCTGGACTAGCTAGCAAATTAAAGACCCAGGAGGTAATTTCCTTCCCAGATTCAGAGGCATCATTGTCACCAGCTGAAATTTTACTCTTACATTCCACGGCCTGGTAAGGCCTTTGGTGTCTGAAGGGAAAAGAAAAGCACCCATTCCCGGCCAGTTGGTGGTGACAAATGTCCCAGACCATCCTCCCAGTCTAGGTCCCAACTCCCACTAGCCTGCTGGCCATTTATTTTCAAGCATGGGCATTGAAAGTCCAACACATCTCATTAGATTTGGAGCTTGCTCGGATGCTGAATGATAGCCACTTCGGCCCAATATGCCATTAACAACACCTTCAATAGAGTTAGTGGCCGAGGATAAATCTAACTGTAGACCCAACTAAAACATTTGGTAGAACTTTATCCGGGCCACCAATTCCGTGTTATGAGTAGAGGTTGAACTTTCTTTATCCTCGATCACTTCGACAATATTGAAGGGCCCAAGTGGTCACGGGACTTGGCTGTCCCGAGCTCTTGGTATCGGCACAATAATCTGGCAGGTTTTTGGTTAGTCGAGCTGAACTCGCTATTTATAGTATTTTTTTTTTGGTACAAGGAAAAAAAAAGTAAAAACTAAGAACCCCTGCAGAAATAAATGTTCATATAGTAGAGGATAACCCTGCAGGGGATCATCCCATATATAAAGCTCTGTCCGATCTTTAGCATCTAATTTGGCAAGAAAATCTGCACAACAATTGCCTTCTTTTAGAGTAAGCTGAAGCTGAACTTTTTATTCCCTTGAAAGGTGAGCACGAATATCTATGATGATGGAACCATAACGATGAAAATCAATGTCATAATTTTTAATCAGCAGTTAAAGTCTTACGATTTTTGACTCATTTTTTATCTTTTTCACAGGACATGTTAAAACTTAAGATTTTTTTAGGGATAAATAGTCCTTCAAGTAATTACTATCTGCAGGAGGCTTACGTAAATGTCTCATTGGCTGTTGTTACCACTTGCCAGCAAGACTGACACTCATACAGTAATGTCACAAGGACGAGTCAATATTATTATGCTGGAGATAATAGTCCAAAATCGTTTCCCTCCTTGGATGTAATACAAACAGTTACATATTATACCATGTCTTCCACCCAAAAGAATAGGGGAGGGAGAGTGTGAAAGCAATGAGGTTTGGCCATTTCTCATTGGGTGTTGGTTCCTGAATTTGATCTCTAAATCCCACTAAACATGCATGAGAATCAGCTCTTGCTGTTGGTTAAGATGACTACTCTAGGATCTCACCCTCTCTGTTATAATAATTAATAATCTAATAATAGAAACCTCACTCAACAAATCATTTCTTTTCTAACTGGTTCTTCGATCTTCCTGGGCCTCCATATCCCCCCACCCCCACATGCATGTGCTCCTCAACCTGCCTTGCTATTCCATTCTTCACAATGTCAGCCACTCTTCAAAGTTGTTCTTTGTAAGCTATCACTATTGTATGAAGTAGTAAATCATGTTCCTTTCCGTAACTAGTCTCATGTTTTACTTTCATTAACGAAGGTACTGCCTTCTTTTCTGTTGACATTCAACTTAATCAGGTCTGATCGACTTATTCGATACGGTATTTGGTTAATTAGTGTAAACATTTCTTATTAACCTCACAATTCTTAGGTGTTTATAGCTTATCCAAGGCTAGTGTTTGGTGCATGGATAATAATAGACCTTTGGTGCCATCAAACGGAGCCCAGGGGCAACAATTCCGATCTCCGCCTGGACAGGAGTTCTTGTACAATCACACATTTGATGAGGTGAATAATCAGATCGGAAAAGTAAGGAAGCCTTTGAATGCTGTGAATGTTGATGAGCTAAGAAATGTGATATCCGTTGAAGAGAGTCAGCTGTTGCAAAATCCTCCTTCGTCTTCGTCTTCGTCTTCTTCCTCGTCCACCTTCCTCTTTCTTGGGAATTATAATCTTAACGGAACATCAAGTAGGAAAACTATCTATGATATGTGGAAGGAAATTGCCAACGAAGAACATGTAAACGTCTTCGATAACCAAATAGTTCGGCAACAACTTGACGAAACTACACTTGAAGATTTTCTAGTTCGCGCTGGTGTAATCAACAAAGGAAATCAAAATGAAGTATTTAGTAATCAACCAATTATGGAGGTTGATCCAATGGTTGTGGGGTCACAGCAGACAGATTTGTTACCATTTCAGATGGCTTCTGTGCAGCAGCAGCAGCAGCAACAGATGACATTGTTGGATTCAAATTTTCATATGTTTGAAGCTGTTTCTGATCAGAACCATGTTGCGGATGTTGGATACTCGGATAACCAACTGCCTATGCCTATGCCAGTGTCAGCAATGTCAGCAACATCTTCAGATTCTCGGGTGGCTGCTGGAAAGCAGTGTCGTTATACAGACGAGATGATGAAGAAGACTATTGAGAGGAGGCAGAAGAGGATGATCAAGAATCGAGAGTCGGCAGCAAGGTCAAGAGCAAAGAAACAGGTCATTATTCAAATATTTCGCATTGAGCTAATTAATTATTGGCGTTGATGTTTCTCTTTCACAGAAGAGTTCCTTATTGAATACTAATAGCTGGTTTCGATGATTATAGGCTTATACCAGCCAGTTGGAGCATGCAGTGTTTCATTCAAGAAAAACAAATAACTGGCTCAAGAAGGAAAAGGTGCGACTTTCACACTCTTTAGATGATGACCAAGCATGCATGCAATCACGCGCACACCATTTCCCACCATTTCCTCTTCTTAATGCCAATTCTATTTTCCACTAGATACCGGTACGTGCCTATGCCGAAAAAAAGCATGGCTAGGGAGATACGAATTAAAGGTCTTAATTTTATCATTGTTTTTTTAAAAAAAGAAGAAGAAGAAGAAGAAGAAATATTGCGTACAAACTTTGGCATAGAGAACTGACTGATGAAAATTCATTTCGATTAAGCTAAAAGATTTGGAAAGTGGCCAATTAGAGCTATAAATAGGCTAACTTGATTTGTTTGGCAGGAATTGGAGATCATGTTCTTATCGTCTGATCAAGCTCCCATGCCACGATTCCAGCTACGGCGAACCAGCTCAGCTTCATTCTAGCCAGTGTTAATACTTGTCCATGCAATTCTTTTAATCAAGAGCAACACAGTGCATCCATCCATTGATGGAAGTACCAGCTTTGACGTTTTTTATTGCTAGCTAGGTTCTTCTAGGAGCCAGCAGTTGGATTTATCTTCTTTGAGATTGAACAGTCGGATTTATGTATGTTAGTGGAGACCACTTTTACAGCACTGTCACACTGATATACCGGGATTTGTTACACGTGAAGAACCCTAAAAAAAACCCCAACACAACAGAGCTATCATGTCATTAAGAAAAATCAAAGAAGAAAACAGAATATTTTTTTCTGAAACAAATATTTGCTACGAGAGATATCATCTAAACACAAGAGAATATAAATTAGGGCTAGTAGATTTGATTGTTAAGAAATAATATTTTGTTTTTATTGATCATGACTCGAATATTGGATTATGTGATGGAAAAGAAATTCTTTCATGATTCAAAGCTCTCACATGTTTTGATTTAATATGAATGAAAGTCTAAATATTGTTGTGGATTCCCACATTTATCACTCCACAGGCTCGTACAACCGAGAGTCATGAATTGGGCCTGGAGGCACATTAATAGCCCAATCTCTAAGATCTGCACTTCTTGTTAGGCTCGGGAGAGACTTGATGGTCAAATACTTTGAAGGATATACCTCTACTTGGGCTTTGAATGCTTTGGTGGCCCAACACACCTCAAGACACCGTGTCACTCAAATTAGGATGTCTTTCATACTCGATTCACCTACCACCAGCCCTTGCGCCACATTATAGAAAATGCGTTGTTCACTTTTCTATAGGCCAGGTTCAACTGCGTTAGGCCTCTTTTTTTTTTTTTAGTTTTTTTTTAAATCATGGTTTTTTAATGTGTTTTCTTTTTAAAAAAAAAATATTGGATGTAACAGAACAGTTTCATCAAATATGCTTTCAATTTCTCAACTGAACTAGGGAACGTAATCTTGCTATCCTTTCAACTGGATATTTGAAAATCAAGGCATACATGAGAAAGTACACAAGGCTTGTCTTTTTATCTGCATCGAACAGTTTCAATACAGCAGTTCATATACAGAACTTGAAATTGTGCCATTCACACGAGAAAGAGAATACGAGGCTGGCCGTCTGTGGTTCCCTTCTTCATTGTTCATTTCACATAAAATGTTGCATTTTATATTTTTCATCTTTACGATTAAAATCAAGAATCAGGCATATGGACTCCAAAACGAGAGGATGAAGTAGATGAATATCCCAATATATATATATATAGACACACACACACACACACGCACACGCACACACAACATCTATCCTTTTGTATTTACAATAAAAAGAACCACGAAGGCCAGCCATGTTAAACTTTACAATTCAGTAAAGCCTGTCTCTCGATGACCCGTCTCCTTCTCAAACCTATCAATTTGAAAAATGAAAACAAAAATTAACTTCTGAATAAGAAGGCCAGGGAAGCATGATAATACAATATTCCGACTTCCTACAACTGAAATATACATGCACATACAGTCAGTCATGCTTTCAAGTCAAGTATTAAAACCACAATTTCGATATGGCTGCCCCAACACAATATATTTGCTTTATAAATGAAAAGGATATAGAAGAAAGGTCTGTTGAAATAAGTTATAGAAACCAACGTTGAGAACACTTGAGTGCCCGGCTAGGCAGCAAACAGCGAAAATCACTGTAACTAACATTAAAGTTCCAGCAAAAGACAGCAGAAAAGAACACTTTCATTATAGAAACCCGCCATCAGGCAACATGATCCTTACAATAGCGATATACAAGCTACAAAAAAATTACAATCCTGTAACTCCTGACAGAAGCAGTTTCAGCACTTCAGTTGGTATCCACGTACACAGTAATGGCATTTCAACATAGAAGAATTACAATTGCTAATCTAGAGATGAAGAATTTGACTACTTTATCAAGTGCATGTGACTTTAAAGACCTGCCCCAGTGTGCAGATTTGCATTGTGCATGTATGAATACTAGCATAGGGAGTAAGATAATCAATTACAAGATCACCGAAGAAGTCTATTCTTAGCAAAACAAGAAAAAAAAGCACTGTATAGAAGTTCCTGTCCATGTCACAAAATTAAACAAATGCTACCTATTTACATGTTTCCAATTTAGTGCTTGGCATGGCTGTCCCATTTACAAGTACCAACAATTAGTAAAAGTGCAAGGCATCTGCACACATTGATAACTTACTAAAAGTTTGAAGGTTGTTGCACCACCAAATAGATCATTTCTTTGTGGCATCTATAAACATGGCTCGGGTCCAATGCTCAATATCCTCAACTTGTGATGGTGGTGGAGGAAAGGTGGGATGTTCAACCAGATCCCATCCATCGATAAAGCTCTCATTCTTCCCATCAGATATCTCAGTGGCAAAAAGAAAACTAGCCACTGAATTTGGAAGGTTATTATCACTAGTGTTTTTCTGCCAGTCAAACAAAAATATGAAACCCACTGAAAACTTGCAAGCACAGAGATGGCAGTGAAAAAAATGATCATGATGGACACAAAATTGCTCTTTTAAAACCAGCACCAAGCAGTTAACATCCTAAATAAATCCAAACCAAACTAATAAGTGACCAACTGCTGTCACTATCTGTTCCATCTCTCTAGACAGATCCCAAAATAAAACTACATAAAAGCATGAATAAATACTTCTAAGCAAGCAAGAAGGCCGCTCCAATGAAGGTCCAGTTATATAGGACCTGTACATGTAGGATGCCAACGACGATGTTAACACCAACTTCTGTGGTGTCATTAAAAAAGTCTACATCTTAAAACATTATAAAATAACAACTACATTCTATTTTGAACACTATCGAGAGAAGAAAGGTTGGAAAAAGGAGGAGAAAATCATGGAAAAGGAAATCCAGAACATAAAGATTAGAACTATCACCTAAAACTTTTAAACATTTTAAAAAACAAAGTTAAAGGATATACCATCAGTTGCAATGCATGTGCACTCTCCAATAGTGCACTTGATGAGATGGCAGAATTTACATTCCACACAGATTTGTTCAACTTTTGCACTTGCTTGCATGACCTGAAACTCAAAAAGTAAAAATGCCAAGCATCATAAACAAAAATGAATGAGGATAGAAAAGAAGACAGATGAAATCAAACAGCACGCATTGTCATCATGATAAAAATCTTGAGTGAAGGTGTTCTACAATTTCACATATTATAAAGTAGAATTAATGAAATGCTGAGGATATATACCTTGAACAGGCCATTTTCAAGTTAAATACGGACCGAACTTCCTTGGATGAAGATAGCGTGGACAATAATTTTGCAAATGCTTCAAAAGTAGACGTATCAGAAGGAACATCTAAACATAACAAGTTATAACAATATGCTGTTACACATGCCACACTTTTTTTGAGAAGTGAAACCCCCTTTTGTAAGTCCTTGTGTGTTTCAACAGAATGTGGAGACACGGATGAATAATTGAAGCTATTACTTCTTGTTGAATCTAGGTGGGACCTTCTCTCTGATTCCATTGAAGCAACACCAAAATTACTGGAGCTTTTATCAGTCCATGAATTTTCAGCACTAGTAGAGCAATAATTCTGGCGAGGTATAAAGAGTGGATACTCATTACTGCAAGCACACAAAATGTTTAGTTCTGGAAGGAGTAATAACTCGAACTTAGCCATTGAAATTCCAAAACACAAACTCTTCCAGTCAAAATACCTTCGAGAAGAAGGACATGCATTCCAATAAGAATCTCGCTGCCAAATTCGAGAGCAAGAGCCCTGAAGAAGAATTAGAATGAATTCAACAGCCACACAAATGAAGTCCACAACAACAATATCAAATTACCAATAGCATTCACCAAATTGTATCTCAACTTTAAGCAACCTTCTTGAAAATGATTAGACTTTTGAATAGAGAACAAAAAAAAATCCAGTAAGAAAATGTTTTCCACAATTCCATCAACAAAGCAAATAAATATTAACATACAGGAAGAGCCCTCAAAATTCAAAATAACAAATACTCATTTGCGGCTGTAAGAGGAAGAATGAATATTTTGTCAGAATACATATATAGCAAGTTGCAAAATTCATCAACCAAAGCTAGAAAAATAATAATAAGAAAAACAGGATTCTAAATAATATGCTATACAGTTTGCCAGTATTTCAGAAAGCTGCAATTATCCAAACTTCAAAACTAAATAAGGTCCACTTCAAAAAGTTTCGTTTGAAAAATGGTGAATTTAACAAACCACCATCAAAAGAGTAGGGCTTGTGAAATTTACTCTCGAAAAATATGTGATCTAGATAAATATATACATATGCATTCCAATAAACTATCCATTTACCATTTGAACCATGGCCCACCAGGCCTGTTCTAGCTACATTCAAGAAACTTGGGAATAATCCCAAGAAGACCTAATGCTATATTGTTCATCAAGTGTCCAAATAACAAAAGCTCTTGACAGCTGTGCTTTTTTGCTAAACGCCCCTTAAGGATGCCGAGCATAGGTACAGGTATAGCTAAGAAAACACATGTAAATTCAGAAAATGAGGAAAGGCGGGGGGGAGGGGAGATCCTTGGAGAAAATTCCACCATCTCATAGACACACAGCATGCTTACCGCAAAACCAGCATTATGAAGTGTAGGAGCAGCCAAGTTATGAGCAACTAGATTTAGAAGCTGAACCATGTATCTGTTTTCCAACCATGGAGATTACTGATTAGTAATGGGCATGAGAAATTCAAAGGAAATTCTAAGCAATGGCAGATAGCAGAACCTGAGAGAGTTCATAAAGTATTGCACCAAAAGAGTACATCAAAGAAATTTTCACATGATCCAAAATCACATGATAACATAACCACACAGAAAGGGGGGGAGTTACCCCAAGGAGGCAGCAAGCTCTTCAGATGAAACAGAGTGGGGATCAAGTCCTCTTGGTAAGCGTGCATTACAGATTTGATCATATTGACCACTAAAGTTCCTCTCCCCATC